TACGCCGGCGAGGCCACGGGAAGCAGAATCAGGGCTTCCAGATACACGAAGTGTGAATCGAGTCGGTTCTTTATTTTGGCATGGTGAGGTCAAGTGAATGACGCTACTCGGATCCTGTATGCGCGTTTCGGAGTCGCAGCACACATCGATGGCGCGAGATCCCAAAGTCTTAGCTAAGGAAGCCTGCTGTCCTATTTGGCACAGTGTTCGGACGTTAAAAGCTCCTACGTGTAGTTTGGAGCGTGGTTTCAGGAGACCAGGAATAACGTTCCGCGTACTCGAATCGTTTGCCCTAGCGGTGCGAGGTGATAAAGAGACGTGAGGAGGGTTGGTCACGGAGATAAGAGAGGTATTAGGAGGTGTAGGAAGGATTTGAATGTGACCAACTTGGTCTCGTGTGCTGTTACGGGTATGAGGGTTGGTGTCACTTCCCGGCTGCCCACACCGTGGAAGGGTATTTCTTGAGGAACCTGAAAAGGAAATTAGATTAGTGTTGGTCTTAAAGACCTGGGAGCGTGACCGCAGAGCCCAAGGGACAACTGCCTGAGGCCAGTGGCGCACGGCCTTTTCGTGGAAGGTTTTTGATGTGTCAGCTCCGTTCTTCAAAGGGCCTTACCGCCGGAGACGGATTCCGTGAGGTAAGGTGAGGTGTGACATTATTAGGGTCGACCTTTTCCAACCCCACACCTCGTTGTGGGAAGGCAGCATTGCTGCACATGTTGGTTGTCTGAGGAAAACACCTTACTGCTGTCACAACCCTCTACAGTCAGCAGTACGACTTCGCCCTCAGACATTGAGTCACACCTCACCTTACCTCACGGAATCCGTCTCCGGCGGTAAGGCCCTTTGAAGAACGGAGCTGACACATCAAAAACCTTCCACGAAAAGGCCGTGCGCCACTGGCCTCAGGCAGTTGTCCCTTGGGCTCTGCGGTCACGCTCCCAGGTCTTTAAGACCAACACTAATCTAATTTCCTTTTCAGGTTCCTCAAGAAATACCCTTCCACGGTGTGGGCAGCCGGGAAGTGACACCAACCCTCATACCCGTAACAGCACACGAGACCAAGTTGGTCACATTCAAATCCTTCCTACACCTCCTAATACCTCTCTTATCTCCGTGACCAACCCTCCTCACGTCTCTTTATCACCTCGCACCGCTAGGGCAAACGATTCGAGTACGCGGAACGTTATTCCTGGTCTCCTGAAACCACGCTCCAAACTACACGTAGGAGCTTTTAACGTCCGAACACTGTGCCAAATAGGACAGCAGGCTTCCTTAGCTAAGACTTTGGGATCTCGCGCCATCGATGTGTGCTGCGACTCCGAAACGCGCATACAGGATCCGAGTAGCGTCATTCACTTGACCTCACCATGCCAAAATAAAGAACCGACTCGATTCACACTTCGTGTATCTGGAAGCCCTGATTCTGCTTCCCGTGGCCTCGCCGGCGTAGGTATAGCATTGAGTCCTAGGGCAGAACTAGCTCTCTTAAAGTGGATCCCAGTAGACAGTCGTTTGTGCGCTGTCCGACTAAACGGAACAGTGAGGATCCGAAAAGGTAGGGACACTCGTCGTTGCCTCTTCGTCGTCTCTGCCTATTCTCCCACTGACTGCAGCGCAGATGATGTAAAAGATGAGTTTTACAGAAAGCTCTTCGACCTTCTCCGAAAAGCTAGGCGCTCGGATGTAGTAATAATGGCCGGTGACTTTAATGCTCAAGTAGGTAAACTAAGCGATAGGGAAAGACACCTGGGTGGATCTTATAGCATCGTGACTCAAAGAACATATAATGGCGACCGTCTGTTGCAGCTATGCTCAGATAACCGCCTGTTCCTTGCAAATACTAACTTTAAGCATAAGGAAAAACATCTTTTAACATGGCGACCCCTAATTCGTCCCAACGTTGGACCGAAATAGATCACATCGCTATCAGCCACCGATGGAGGGGCTCGATAGAAGACTGTCGCTCATTCTGGAGCACATGCTTAGATTCAGATCATGCTCTAGTACGAGCGCGTATTTGCCTGCGTCTTACTGGATGTAGGAAAGACGCTGCAAGTAAACCTCTTAGGGGCCTACTTAATGATAGTCAAGCTAAGAGTATATTTCAGGAACAACTAGGAAAACAGTTAGGCAGGTATGTATGTGATGCCCACCCCGAGGCAGCATGGAATGATATACGAAAAGCTGTGGAAACAGCAGTGATATCTGCTAGTACGGTAACCCGTAAGGTTAGGGAGCAACACTGGATCTCAGCAGCATCTATCGCACTGATAGATGCTCGGGAACTCATTCCACCTGGCTCTGAACATAATGAAGAGTGGAGTCAACTTAAGCGCAAGCTGACAAGAAGTCTACGCAATGATCGTGAACAGTGGTGGGTAGCGAAAGCAAGAGAGATGGAAAAGACAGCAGCAATAGGTAATAGCAGACAATTGTTCAGACTTGTTAAGGAAACCGGTATTAGGAAACCGACTGTTAGCGAAACACTCTCAGAGAAAGATGGATATATTATACATTCTCAATCCAGGAGATTGGATCGATGGGCAGAACACTTTAGGGATCAGTTCAACTGGCCTTCAGCCACACTTCAATTTCCCACGATCTCCAGTCAACCTGAATGCCAAGTTAGTGTAGGTCCTCCGACTCTTTACGAAGTTGAAAAAGCCATAGGAAGTTTGAAGCGAGGGAGAGCAGCAGGCCCTGACAGGTTTACTCCTGAGATTTTTAAGGATGATGGTTCAGTATTAGCAGTGAGATTAACTGAAGTCTTAGGTAGAATTTGGGAACTGGACGTAATCCCATCTGACTGGTCTCAATCACTGATTGTGCCAGTCTATAAGAAAGGACAAAAGTCCTCTTGTGACAATCACAGAGGAATCACTTTGACAAATATAGTATCTAAAATATTAGCTTCAATAATACTTCAACATCTAACCAAAGCTCGTGAAGAACAGACTAGAGAAAATCAGGCTGGTTTTCGACCTGGACGTGGTTGCATAGATCAGATATTCACACTGCGTCAGGTTCTGGAACTCAGACACACATTCAGACGCCCCACAATGGTAGTATTTCTCGACCTTAAGGAGGCATTCGACTCTGTTGATCGTAAGGTTCTATGGCAGTGTTTGTCACTGAAAGGAGTACCAAAGAAGTACATTAACCTTATAAAGGCTCTCTACTCGAACACAACTGGTAGAGTGAGAGCTTATGGCGAACTGTCATAAGAATTGAATACCTCGAGTGGTGTTCGTCAGGGTTGTCCACTCTCTCCATTCTTGTTCAACTTTGTCGTCGACGTACTTTTAGGGATAACACTTTCGTCGTCTAGATTTCCAGGGGTTGAACTTCTACTGGGAGGTTCACTTGTTGACTTAGAATATGCTGATGACATAGTTTTATTTGATGAAGACGCTGACAAAATGCAGAGTCTTCTGACCACTCTAAGCAACAATCCAAGCATGTTCGGGATGCGATTCTCCCCCTCGAAATGCAAAATGTTGCTTCAGGATTGGGTTGTATTGACACCCGAACTAATGATAGGGAGTGAAGTAATTGAGGGTGTCGATCGCTTCACTTATCTTGGAAGTCTCATCAGCCCTTGTGGTCTGGTGTGTGACGAAATCTCAGCACGGATACAGAAGGCTCGACTAGCTTTTACCAACTTGCGTCATTTATGGCGTAGGCGAGATATCCGTCTATCAACCAAAGGACGGTTTACTGCGCAGCAGTTCGTTCCGTCCTACTTTATGGCAGTGAAACATGGCCGGTAAGAGTAGAGGATATTCGTAGGTTACTAGTATTTGATCATAGGTGTCTTTGAAATATTGCTCGTATATCCTGGGACCATCGAGTAAGTAATGCAGTTGTCAGGAAACGGGTACTAGGCAAGGATGGCAAATCAATTGATGACGTAGTGAAACTTCATCAGTTGAGATGGCTGGGACACGTGTTACGTATGCCCAACGACCGACTGCCTCGACGTGCGATGTTCAGTGGGATAGGAGTAGGTTGGAAGAAAGCTAGGGGCGGCCAGACCAAAACATGGCACAAGTCCATGAAGTCACTGACAAGTGGACCGAGTCATGTTGGTAGGTGTAGACTACCGCGAGATGATAGCAACCGATGGCTAGAGACCCTGAATGACATGGCTCAAAACCATTTGCAATGGCGCAGGTGCATCCACTCTTTGTGTTCTCCCAAATTCTAATCTTCTGAATTCTTCATGTCCCTTTCTTTTTTTCTCTTTCCAAATTTATTTCACTGTATTATACTCTTTAAATAATATCTCCAAACACTAATTTTCCTGATTACTGCTTATACTCTTATTACCTCTACCACTACGGGATTTGAGTCGACCACTGCATCTGTGTGCTAATGTGGTGTGGCAACTCGAACTGATGTACGTACGTACGAAGTTCTACGTTGTTACTGACTGACTGACTGTTCTCCAATCGACCTGCCTGGCATGGTAGAACCCACAGGAACATATGTTTCAGCCAATATAGCTCGGTTGGGTCATCACGATAGGCAACCCCGACCACCGCGTCAAGGTAGCAGCTTCGGTCGGGGTTTGTGGAGCTCGCGATTTTCGGTCTAGGGCGCAAACACTTAACCTCTAAATCATTGGGGCAGAATGCAGTGGTGTAGACGTCTAACTTCAATTACTGAGTGATATCGCTCAATCACCTTCTATTGTCTTCGGTGGATACCTTGCTGGGAGTTGATAAGTTTGAACTCCACTAGTCATGGTTTCTCAATAGAATTTCGGACATGCACATTACTGGATTCGGATTCGTTGTCTCAATAACACTAAATAATCTCTTCCCTCTATACTAATAATTACACTCTAGTCTGTAAGTATTACAGCGGAACACTAGAAACAAGTCCACTAGGCACTAAAGTGTGCAGTGCTTCATTACTGAAAATTTGTTAAGTACAATATTACGAAATTACAATAGCCATAAGGCTAATGAGAAAAATGGTGATTACTCACTCACCTGCTTTCAGTTATTAAGGTATCGATATCTTGAATTTTTCGTTCATCTCCACTTAAAATATAATTTAATTCATTGTTCAGTCGATCACATTTATTACGATATATATCTCGTTCCGTTGCAATTTCTTGTTTCTCATCAAAACATTGCCCCAATTCGCGTTTGAGTTCAGAAACCTTTAAGAGAAATAGGTTGAATTCTTTTTTTAGAAAAAGTAACGTCAAACTGACAAAGTAGTGAACACAATGTAGTACAGTCTATTCGTCGACAAAATAAGAAGGGGTTGTATCCGAAAAAAGTAGACCTATGGCTTGGTATATGGCCTAGATTTTTAATTACTAGGATTAGATCCTTGGCTTGCATCAATTTAGTTCACTCAGTAGAGTATTACGAGCTCCTGACAGAGAAAAGTTATATTACAGTAGAAGGTTGGTTTGTAAGTGGGGTACGACATACAGATAATACGTTTGTTGATGAAGTTCTGAAATCATTATTGACTGATATGGTTAAAACAGCTGTTACGCACACCCAAGCGCCATCAATCTCTATATACTATAGCGGAAAGCATAGGAACTGAGTTAAAAAGAAATAAAGGGTGAACAGACAAAACAGTGTCAATCTAAATGGTCATAGTCTATCTATTTGGACAAAGCGCTAAAGGGCATTAATATAGATGTATTCGTTCTGAACCATCTTACAAATTTTCAGTTCTTATGTATTTATTCTTATTGTTTAAATTCTCGATTGCATTCGTTTAATTTTGAAATTCATTTTCTATGTTTAGTTTTGGTCGCACCACTCATGTCATTATTCCTACTGTTTTTCTCGTGTTTATTGTCGTATTATCTGTTTCTTTCATTATATGGATACAAAATTTGATGATTTGAACCGGCATACACGTTGTTTGCAAATAAGTAGTTGGGGAGCTGCACAACTAATAAGTTGTGCCACTACATATCGAAATTTCGTAGCAGTAGAGTGTATTCGTTTATAAAATTTCTTAACCTGAACAGTAAAATAAATCTTTAATACATAATTTGTTGACAGGATTAAACTGTAGAAAGGCATAACACAATATGACATAGGTAATATATCCTGGTTCTAATTAAGACCTGCATCTATCGTTATTCATCTAATGTCAAGGTGTTGTAAATGCATAAGATAGATTACCAAAGAATGTACAAATTCGAACCATATTGGTTATGTAGTTAGGTGTGTGTGTTAGTCATAAGAAATATACAACCTGGGACATACATGAGTCGACCCAAGTTGTTGCACAAAATGATCAAGAACTATATAAATTTTTTAAGGGAAATTTCACTTAAAAAGGATGTACAGGCACTGGAAAAAAATTAAGTACCTGAAAAGTAAGCTCTTCCAACTGAGTTACGTAGGTTTGGCGATCATTTCCAGAAATTCTAGGATCCATTGTGTGCTGGTTTTCACATGAACGATCGCTAAGTTGTCTCCTCAACACCTTAATATCTCCTTGGAGTTCTTCAATTTTTTCGCGAGAATTCATTAGTTCATGTTCTAAACTTTTGTTAGCTTCTCTGCTTTCAACTAACAAAGAAGCAAGCTACAAAACTTCTGGAGGGAAAATGTAACCATATACTTGTTTAGTCGATAAATGCATTATATCAGGGGTAGAATATTGGTCTGCTTTATCACATTCCATAAGAGTTTTTTTAAGCATCTGGTATCGATTCATTACCTAAAAGACGTCGAAGATAGACTAAGAAAATACTTGTTCTGCCATTCTCTTGAACTCATTTCTCTCTTTTTTGCACTTTTCCAATGAGGCGTTCAAAATTGAAACTGCTTGTGTCTTGGCATTCAGTTGCTGAGCAGTCACTGTCAGCTATTAATCATAGTGCTGATATTATAATGTTTTGTAACTCACATCAGTTTTTAGATTTTCCAACTCCAAATGTAGTCTTTCCTCTAACTAAAAACAATTTATGGTAATAAGAGGAAAATTTTCGACCAACCATTTGATTAGCGATGAATAATACAGTCTCTCATATACATATCTGAAACATGAAAAATTCATCGCGTTAACGTCAGCAAAAAATATGGAATATGTAGAATTTTATAGTGTTTTGGGCTACTTATTTTTTAACTTTTAAAACATTGCATAAGCTGTCTCATTTTCAGGGAGTTGATATCAATCAACAATATTTGGTAACCGTATTATGCATTCATGTAGTTACATGGAATATCCAACCTAACCGCAAAAATCGAAAGTCATAGTAGATGGTGGCATAGTCTTTAAAGGAATGAGGGGTTATCACATGCGTTTTCCTGAAACAACAAGTCCAAGCTTTACATATTTGATGGAAGAAATGGATTATTTCAGTCTGCAAATATGTAAATTAAATCACAAAAAAAATCATGATGATAACTCATAGTTAAATGTACACGGCTTTAGGCTACAGTATAATTGTGAGGACTAGTAATACTTTTCGGGTGCCCAAACCGAAGTAGGTGGAGCGGGATCCGAACCAGTGAATTAATGACTGAAAGTCGGAGGCCATTCAGTTAACATGAAAAAATATAGAGGATATGTTGCCACCGTCGTGAATATACTTTAGTGTGCATCAAATTTCTAGATGATTTCGATGATTTTCGGCATAGATATTTGCTGTAAACATTTCTGTGACTCCTAACATAAGTCCAACTGTACTACCCGTTTACATTAATAAAGATACTGCATATCCTCCTACTATTTTCAGCGCTTTATTATCAATAATATATAATAATAGCAGTTCGTGTGAATGTGGCTTCATTAGATCTTCTAATAATAAAAAGCAATGCTGAGATTAGTATGCGACTTCATACTTCTCTTCGAACCTGATCTTTTCAACGATTCAAAAATACACAAACCGCATAAGTGCGACTCTTTTGAATGTACATTATATTTTTGTTAAATTACGCGTCACACTACATAATTTCATTCATTAATCGGGAAGTTTGCCAAAATGGAACTTGTTTTCCTATAGTTCACTGGATGATATCAGTCCAAATAACACCCTTCATCTCACAGGTTGTTCAAACAGTCATTTGGTCATAAAATTTACTGATACCCTATATATTGAGATGTATGTCAAGTTGGACCGAAGTACACATGGTAGATCTAGGAGTACACAAAGGATAGATGCATGTGGATTACTGCAACCGATTTCGAGCCACTTCACCTAAAGTCTCCAATTATTGGTCATCATAATCTCTTAAACCCTATCTAGGTTGTTTATACCTACTAACATGGTTCAGAACAACAGCTAAGAACCTCACGGACTAATATCACGTCTTTTATTTGGTCCCTTACCCAACTTTTTTGAAATACTCCTCCAGCAACGAAAGTCGTGCTCCGAGGTAATTAGTGGTTGAGCATACATAACGAATGCTCGAACCATTTCTGTTTGTAAACGTCCAGTTTCATATCTGCCTAATGTTTGGGTTCTTCTGCTGCTTCCGCTATTCCGTTGGATTTAAATCTTGGTTTGGCCTTAGATGTGACAAGTAGCTTCTGTAGGTTTATTGACTGAGTATATCTACGAGTCTTTGGTCATTCTAGTTGACATATTACTTAAAAATTTAGATTAAATTACTAGAGATGGATAGGATTATATTCGATTTTTCACTAAATATGACAGATTCAGCATCCTTTTTCGATACTTATAAGAAGTTATGATCATTTACTTTGGGATCAACGTTGACTGATACCTGGATTTTGCAAGGGAAATCCACCTAAAAACATTAGGTAATTTTTTAACTTTTGGGTTGGATAAGAAATTTACAATTAGAAAGAATATGGAGTGGAATTACGCTTCACTCCATCTGGATGGAAGCCTGTAAAAGACGGTGTGCAACAAGTTACTCTCTTAAGTCTCTTGTTATTCCTACTCTACGTCAACGAATCGCTATAAATGTTTAGATCATCACTTATATGCAGATGGTATAAACGTCCAGAGGGTAATACATAGTGAAACCGATATGCTAGAGCAGCAAACTGATCTAAACGAACTAGTTAGGTGGTCCAGGAATCAATGTTTAGAAACAAACTCATAAAAATTGTTGATTTAAATGGGACACAACAATAACCAACAATACACTATTGATGCGATGCCAATCACGTTTTAGGACAAAAAGATCTATGTGTAATTGTAAGTCATGACTTGAGGACAACTGTACACTGCAGTTCAGCAGCTGATAAAAGGTTTCATGTGTTATGTGTACTTCGCAGAGCCTTTAGAGGCCTTGGCCAAGAAATGTTTTGAAGTTGATAATTACTGGGCTTCCCATATATTGACAGAAAGGGAACATAAAAATGAAGTACGTGTCTTGTTATTTGAAATTTCTGTATGTGATGATACATATTGAGCTTCAGTTAGTCAGTTATAATCAAAGTAGAGACCAGTACAGATGGGTGTTAACCCAAGTTCCCATATAACCATAGCAAGATGAATAGTAAAGGAGTCAAGATAAAATAGTAGCAACGGTAATGAAGAAGGCAAAACCTTGAGAATAAAGTCCAAAAAAAGACGATTGAACGTATATATGTGAATATATAATGGAGCCCGAGGTGGAGAGTAAACACTATATTGAGTAAAGCCATTGTTATAAGGAATGAATGCACTCATATTACTGCCACCAATCCCGAACTATGTCAACCAACGTCTTCAAACGATTATTGGAATTATTACCTGGACCCCAACCGGGTAGTTTGCATCTGATAATATAGCTTAGATTAGCTGACAATAACTTCGTAAACTGATGCCGTGTGTTGGTTTTGCCGCCACTGCCTTTCGTTCAATGTACTCATGCATCTAGGGCTATCGCATACGAAAGTGCGCAGTGATTGGCTATGGATAATAAATGTGTCGGCCAATTTAGTTTGTAAAGGTTTGTTGCCATTAACCACAGTTACCTAGGATTCCGCGTCTAATCTCATAATTACTCACTCGACTAACCTCCCAACTCTGAGGAAAAATCGACTTATTCGATGTAAGGTTCAGATTATACCCACTAACTATTCTGTTCATCCTGAAGAAAATTGTATAGAAACCCCAGAATTTAAATAAAACCTGAGTTTTCGGCCAAAATGTATCCAGAATTGGGGGATTGTGCGATAGTCCGAAAATACATAAGCAACAATCCGAAATGTGTCGGTTACCATATACTAGTGACCTACAGACACTCATTATTTCTAGAGGACATGTTTCACACACAAACAGTAAAACAGAGAGAAATGTTGGATAGAAGATAAATTCTGGTTGACAAAAGAAAATAACACCTACGGCATCAAAAATGAACGAAACATTTGACTGAGGTAGTTTTATACTAATATGAGCTTCAATAACAATTTAGCTCAGTGTACATTTATAAGTGGTTATGAGTTCAAGGCTTAGATATTTGGTTCAGTGAGCTATGCCAAGCCGGTGTGATTCCGAATAATTAAAAGAACAGAAAACTGACCCAATTTCGAAAAAATGACTTTAGTATACTGAGTAATTAATAATAAAATCTTAAGATCACAAACCTCCTCACGACCTTGAGTATTTAAATTGAGAGCCTTTTAACATCGAATGACAATATCAGTACCGTTGATTAGTCATCGATCTTTCAAGTAACATTATATTTCGCAAGCCAGTGACACATAGGAATGCATACAAATTTTTATTTTTAACTGCTAAATATGTATCAAGAAGTCGGATTACTAAATATCAATGCAGTTCGTAATATCTTGACGAGTTTGTCCATTTAGTTTATCCAACCATAATTTAAAGAGCAATGTAGGCTGTACTCTGGATAATTATCACTACCCACGCTACAAATTACCTGATAAATGCTCTAAGAAAGATAAAGCGAAGTTATTGAGATGAATTTTATGTAGTACACGAAAAATAACAATAGCAATATATATATACTTCTGATTCATAAGATCGCCTTGCTGATTTCTTCGATTCTTGATACGGTATCATCAGCAGGGAAGTTCATCTTTATTATCACAGTGTCCATTCGGTTGTCCAAAAGGTCTATGGATTTTTCACTCTGTCCCGCTGCTATTGAATATCGGTGATTTGTTTCCCTTCTTTTTTCTAGACTGGTTGTAAAATGTGATCGATAGACGAACTCACTAATAATAAAGGGAAACGCCCACCACCACATTAACTCTTTTTGACCTCGTACGACTGTATCTCTTTATTAACCAATCGCAGTTTGATTTTCATTGTAAAACAACATTTGCTTGTTGACTCATTTTTCCTATTCTCTGGCTACTGTTCGGTATGTTATTTGTCTCTGTTTCTCCCTGCATTAATAGACCGTACTATTTGTTTGTACACTAACGATGTTAATTTATGTTTTAGAAACATAAAGTTTATCTAGCCAAATAGCTTACTTGTTCTTACTTTGGCCAAACCAAGACTCTGTACTCGACGGTCTAAAGAATAGCTCGGAATTAAACCTGTAGGAAATTGCTCCCTACAAAGTTTCGAACAGTATCTCATCAAAGTTTTGTACATTGGGTACCTTTAGATGTCTATGAAGAGTCATAAAACTGATCATATTCTCGAACTGTCTCCTCACTATTCAGAAACCCATAGTGATGACCAGCTCGAAGGAAATACCTACCGAATGGATCCCTTGTTAGAGATAGAATTAGCTAAAGTACGTTTAGCTCAGACAGAAAAAGAAATCGAGCTAGAACGGTTACGCCAAAAAGGAAGAGAACATTATAATCAAGTTATGGTTGACAAGGCGATGACGTATGAGTCTACATCTGTCTCACATGTCGTTCATGTTCCTCCTAGAAAAGACTGGGTAACAATGATGTCTAGAGCTTTAGATCTATCAAAGAAAGAGATTATAAGGTTTGATGGCAACCCTATGAACTATCAAAGCTTTATAAGGAATTTTGAGGACTGTTTTGACGAGAGCATTGGGTTCCGATCTAGGTTAAACTATTTGATCCAGTACTGTGATGGTGAAGCTAAAAACACTATTATTCATTGCGCATTGCTCGAGCCAGAAGAAGGCTATCGTAAAGCACTAGAACTTCTCGAGGAAGCATTTGGTCAGAAGCATGTAGTAGCCCATGCATTTATTGATAAGATGCTGAACATCCCTGCCATTAAAGGGACCGATCCATATAATTTAAGGAGGTTGTCTCGTGAGATGCATATTTGTGCGCTAACACTCACGCAGATGAACTATGTATCTGATCTTAATTCTACAAGGACTACCGAATGCATGTTTTTAAAATTCCCGTTACACCTGCAAAAAGAATGGGTTAAAGCTGCGTGTAGAATTCTTAAGACAGGTAGAGAACCTTCATTTAAGGACCTTTTCGAATTTGTGAAAGAGCAGTTGGACATTGCTAATACTAGGTACGGCTTACTTGTCAACCGCGGTAGTAATAGTGGCAATAAAAATGTTGATGTTTTAAAAGGGAAAATTAGGACAGATTGCAATGCAGCAAGAATATCTTATGCGAGTGCTAGTGATGATAATGCTCTCTTACGCAGTTCATCTTGTTTGGAGTGCTTCAGTAATCATTCTTTAGATCAGTGTCAAAAATGTAAAGACAAGAATGTTAGAGAAAGGAAGGAATTCGTTCTTAGACACAAGTTGTGTAATGTATGCCTGAAGGCAAACCACGTAGCAAAAAACTGTCGATCGCCAAGGTCGTGTGCTGTCGAAGGGTGTGGCTGGAGACACCATACCCTGTTACACGAAATGCAGGAAGAACCAAGGAATACTAATATTGATGCACACATTAACACCCAGCTATGTACGGAGAAAAGTGTTGAGCGTGTACAGAAACAAGCAGCATTCGCAATAGTGCCTGTACTGGTAAGAAATGGAGAAAAGGTAGCACAGACTTTCGCCTTCTTAGATAGTGGGTCGTATGCCTCGCTTATTACAGAAGATCTAGCTAAAAGGTTGAATTTAGAAGGAGGGCTTAAGACGATTTCGTTGAAAACGTTGAACAACCATTCCACAATTCAGTGTAAAGAGGTTCAACTAGAGGTTTCCTCCTTAGACTCGTCTTCGTCATTTAGAATCCCAAACGTATGGACAGTCGAGAGATTACCTATGTTGCGCAGGACGGTACCAACGACGTCTCAAATGAAATACTGGACGCATTTAAAAGACATAAGTTTTCCTAGAGCAGAGGATGAGAATGTCAAGCTATTGATCGGGTGCAACGCACCGAGTGTATACGAAACGAAAGAGATAAGAACTGGAAAGCCGAATGAACCATTCGCCGTGAAGACTCCGTTAGGTTGGACGCTGTTCGGTTCCTATAGGAAACCTTTTAAAAGCAATCGTGCACTCAACCACCTCTCAGCTAAAGAGGAATTAGAGGATAAGTTCGAACAGTTGTACTCAACTGAATTCAAAGATCCATTTAGTCGTACTATATCGATGTCTGTAGAAGATCGTATAGCACTCAGTGCTATATCAAATTCAGTACAAAGGTTAAACGGGCACTATCAAATAGCTCTACCTTGGAGGCACAACCACAAGTTACCTAATAACAGAGAACTAGCAGAACGTAGACTTAGCTGTTTGAAAGGTCAACTTATTCGGGATACGAAGTTGTTCCAAGACTATGTAGACTCCATGACTCGGTATGTAGAACGAGATTACGATGAAAAGGTAAACGATAACCACTCTGATGGGCGAATTTGGTATCTTCCTCATCATCCAGTCTTCCACCCCAAGAAACCTAACAAGCTAAGAATAGTGTTCGATTGTGCAGCTCAGTATGCTAGAACGTCTTTAAATAAGAACCTTCATTCTGGGCCTGATTTAGTCAATAACCTAGTAGACGTTTTCACCAGGTT